GGGGAGAGAAAGGCGACCTGGGCTGCCTCTGTCTAAGCGTCCTCCATGTTTTATGCATTCTGTTCTTTGTGATGATAAGCGCCATCGCAGAGGGTGGAATGCTGGCCTCCAGGGTCCCAAAAGAGGGGTGGGACCAGTGAATAGCCGAGGTGCAGCTCAGTTCAAATCTGCAGTGGTCCCCGTCACCCCTGACTCATAGGTGGGCATATGTGGAGCGAACGGCAGTTCCCTGCTATGACCACTATAGCTATCTGCTGCTGCCACGCAGGATATAGTGTACGCTAGGAGTCACAGTTCTTAGCTTCTGTACAGCCGGACACTAACCCAGCTCCACAACAGTCACTACTGTCATCATCTTTGTTTTTACTATTAAAAAAAAAGAAAGATAAAAGATTTTGCCAAAAATATTCCCTCTTAATTCTGACTCACACACTCCTAAACAAATAACCAAATTAATTTATTAATAATTGTTTGTCAAATAGTACAACACAAATTATTTTAAAAAAACAACCCTAAAACCATGGAAACTATTTTTCTGCTCCTCACTGTGACATTATTCTGTGCTAGGAATACACATAACTACAGTAGCCTGTTAATGTAACACCATGTGGTTCGTACAATAGTATTTACATAAAACCAGAATGTTCTTTAATTAGAATCCAGTTCTGTGCACACACGTGTCCAGGCACAACCTCTGACGCCATGACTGGAGTTTGCAGCCGTGATACAACTGATCTGAACATGATAATTGTGAAAGAGCAAACCACAAACATCTTTGCCAACTTGACTTCAAACAGAAGGATGTCGCTGAGCACTGAGTGAACATGGAGAAAGTAAACCATCAGATCAGAGCTTGTTGTTTTTTTCTAAATAGCCAAGAAACCTTTGGGCAAATTGTGAGAAATAAGGGGAAGGGACAGAAGCTATGCATGCGAATACACACACACACACACACACACACACACACACTGAACATGACAGCCATGTCATCCAGTCTCCTCCTCACTTACTTGCTCACCCCTGTGCCGAGCCGAGATCCCTCCCACTCCCTGCTCCTTTACGAAAGCATGATGCGTGCACTGTCCTCGGCCACAGGACAAGTGGAAGAACCAGTCTGGGGTGAACGCATATTCAAAACTGCACATCACATTCAAAGCAACCGTTTGTGTGGACTGCCCCGTCATTACACATGTCCATGCAGCTAATGTGCAAACAGACGTTATAGACAGGCTTCACATTCTCCTCTGATTTCAGTGGCGCCGCATCCAAACAAAGGTAGACCTATTCATATTTATAAGGCATTTCCTCTTATGCAACAAACAATGTAGAGAGAAAGAGTGAAAAGAATTTTATATATATATAAATATAAAATAAAACGTTATAAAACAACACCTAACCATTTGTGTTTGTTTTAGAACAACAATAACCCATGTGCTAAATGTGTATGCAACCCTCAAGCACGTAGGATCTGTTATGTATAGATCTAGACTACTGTTCACCCAAAGAGGGCTCTCCTAGACCGAGGATATGGATTACGGCTGCAGTGGACTATCACGAAAAGGTGGGACTTAGGGGGAGATAGGGGGAATAAGAACTAGCTAGCTGGAGGAAGAGAGAGAGAGAAAAAGAGAGAGAGAGAAGGGAGGCAGGCAGGAGGAGCGGAGGAGGAGAAGGGGTTATGGCAGCATAACACTGGCATTACCTCCCTTTTCTCAGCAATACCCCGAACCATTTAACAGGCCTATTCATGATGACGACTGCTCTGTATTTCAATGATTGGCTGTGCATCTCGCACACATGCAGTCGAATGACACGTGAATGCTGTGAATATACCTGTCATCAAACACGGTCAGAGACACGGGCTGCAGACAAACAGTGGACAGATGTTTTCCTGCCGTGCATGGAAACTCCATATTGACTCAGAGGTCGAAAAAAAAGGAAAAGAAAAGGTGATCTTAAAAAAGCAAATATTGTTTTTGTTTTTTAATGTGCAGTAATATTTCACTCAACTTCACTGACAATATCTACAAAATTAGAGTCAAGTTTTTACAGGAATATTTGTTATATTTTAATTAATTCGATTTTTTACAAATTAATGACAATTTTCAAATGTAATACAAAACATATATTTAATTTATGCCTGCTGAAACTAATTAATATAGCTTCCCATAATTAGATTATTTATTTTACATACTTTTATAATATAATTCTATTTACTTTTGTTAAATATTTTCTATTTTATTTATATATGGTCAAATAAATGGGGCCTAAAAAGAAACAATTAATTACAAAATGACAAATGGAAAAATAAAAAAAGAGAATGTGACTTGCAGTAATGTCTGTGGTTTTGAAATAGAAGTAAAAATAAATATCACCCAGTAGGACTAGCATGTGCAAAATACTTGGAGCACCACAGCGAGAGATGAGCCACACCAAAAAATGTATTTGTAATACAATACATAGAAATGAATGACATCCCTTCACCTGTGCCAGGAACTGTTAGACAATTAAAAAATATATGACTGTGTGACGGGCCAAGAAATCAGACAGGTGAGATGGCAGTAAACATTCCTTTGTTTTGTAACAAATGACGGAGAGGAGGAGGAGGAGGAGGAGGAAGAAGAAGAGGAGTGACAGGGGAGGAAGGCAGATTACTGGGGTTTTGGCACATCAGTCTACCTGTCCTATAAAGCTCTTTGGGCTGAAGTGAAAAAACTGGGATGTAAATATTCACAAAATGGGTGCAAGAGCTTAAAATGATCAAATGTCTGGGAGGTGGTTAAATAAAAACGACAGGGAGAGAAGCTGAGGGAGACTGTGCTCCTCTTTAGTCTGAAAGGTAGAGATCTGTTTATCTGACCCACTCCCCTGATTCCTCCTCGATGGCCCATGGCTATCTGACCCCTTCACCCAGCCCCCTTAATGGTACTACCCTCAGCCCCCAACCACAGCTTCTTCTTTTTTTAACTCTCTCGTTCTTTCAACATCCAACACTTTTAACATTTAAATTCCATTTCATTTCATTGAAAGTGTCACTGATGCAGTATTTCAGCCTCAAATGTAATCTGTAGCCTTAAGTCTTAATCCTGGAATCCTGGATTTGCTGACAAGTGCTCCGTGTGGATCCCAAAACACAACAAGCACCATATCCCCCCTTTTTTTTTACTCCCTCTTGCCAGACCCTCATCATCCCAAGGCTGTTTGCAGGAGGGGGGGGGAGTCTTTTTTTCACTCTGCATTCACTCTATGACCCCTGGTCCCCCTGCTTCTTGCTGTCTGACCCAACACCCCTCCAACCAGCCAAAACACACAGTCACACACACACACACACACCTCCTCAGCCTCCCTTCTCCTCTATTTCCCCAACATAATTATTTTCTTGCCTCTGTTCGTTTGCCGTTTTTTCCCTATTTTCTTCGTCGGTGTCGCGAAAAAATGTCCCGATCCTAAGTTGTCGTTTTTGCTCTTTTTATTTCGCGTCTCCGTCAGAATTTAAGTGCAGTCTGTCGGAAAAACGGTCGCGTATTTATGCTCGTATTTATAGACTTTATCAGGTCGGAAGTTGCACCGACAAAAACAAGAGAACACCTGCGTCTGCAGTCAAATGTAACATTTTTGGCGAGTCTTCGGAGGTAAACAAATAGAATTACAAAAGATCCGTGTTTTAAAGAAAGTGTCAGACAATACACTGTAGGCAGAGCATAGTTTTGTGATTTCTAAGAAAAAAAGACCAGAGTCCGTGTTTTGGTAAACGTTAAAACAGGAGGTGGTGGTCCCGGTCCGGTCCTGAGCTGGGTTTAAATAGTTTAGACTGTGAAGTTGTTTTTATCTGCTAAAGGTCAGGGTTCTGCTTTCATTCTAGGGGTAAAAAATGTTCTCTCTGTGTCAAAGTCTGAAACGGCAGCCAAGTAGTTGTAGGCAGCAGACACACTCTCTCACACACACACTCACACACAAAACGAAGCTCAGGTTGTGAGACGCAGCTCACACACAGAGACTGTCCGTGGACCAGATTCTGCTGATCCGCTCCTGTCACGAAGGAGACCCGGGGATGTGTTTTTTTTCATCCACACACTCGCCAACACGAGCCCCCTTATGCACGCACAAACACACGCACGCACGCACACAAGCCGATCGATTTGCATGTGACTTCGTCAGGGAATAAGCGAGAATCGACTCTAAAACGTGGCTTAAAAAGGCAAAAACAACAACAACAACAAAATAAAAGCTGAAAAAAGGTGGACAAAGTGCGGTCAAGAGGAAAGTGTGTAGCTACAGGAACTGAGGCAGGGCGGAGAAGGCACTGAGACACGTATGGGAGAAGAACAGGGGGGAAAACGCTGTTAATCCATTCACACCAGGATTTTAGAAGCACACGACTGTGTTGAACCCCCAACTGGATGTCACCAGTGTTTAACCCGATATTTTTTAGCCAAAACGGGGCGAGAGGTGTTCTCCCTCCTTGCCGGACGCACACGGATCCACAGGCTGGACTTGGAGCTCCTTTCCTGGGCTGCGGCTCATGTGGAGCCACCGCTGCCCTCCGTCCGCTCCCCACAGCCCCCTTCGTATCGGCTCTGTGCCTCAAAAACACGCTGCTCGACACCACAAACCCCCAAATCCAGCTCCCTCACCTGCCGAAATGCACACATTTGTTTTAAAACCGTGATTTTTTCTCTACGATCAAACGGGAATGAGAGGATCGCTGAGCCTCCGCTCATTTCTTATCCTGCCTTCACCAGGAGGAGAGGACGATCGCTGATGTAAACACAGGTAACTAACCGTACAAACGGACAAAAACGGACAATAAAGACTAACTAGTCGCAAGAAAAGAACTTGCGGTGAGCAGCTATTTGGCACAGTGGTCCGAACAGCCAGCTCCGCTTCGCACGTTAAACTAGGAACAGATTGGAGAGAGAGGCTGAGGTAAGTCTCCGGCGAAAAGGACAGGATCGTGGAAACAGAAAGGAAAAAGAGACAAACGCAAAGTTGAAACTTACAATTTCTCGCTGCCGCTTTGTGATCCTCGCTTTTTAATCCAGTAGTGAGATGATTTTGCTAAAGATCCCATCAAGGCAGTCCCCTTTTGGTCAGTTTGCGCTTAGGGTGGCAAAAGAAAGAGCATTGTTGTTGCGGAGTGTAGAAAAACCAAGTATAAGTTGTTAAAGGCAATATAAAAATAATTTGGATGCAAAGCAGGCGATGAGTCTTGTGTTAGAGGGAGCGAGGAAGAGGTGAAAGTGAGATCTGATGATTGAAAAGAAAAAACTCTTTGGATCTTTATTCCTGCTAATTAGTTTCCTGCAAAAAATGGCTGTGATTAATTCAGTGCGCATGTGCTTCATTACACAGGCACGAAGGGAAGGGCTAATTAGCCGCCTTCTGGATCAATAAGATTCAGCAAAGGAGAGAGCTCGGGAGAGAGAGGGAGGGAGGGGGAAGGAGGAGGAGGGAGGGAGGGATGGATAGATAGATACAAGGAGGAAAAAGAGGAAAGTAATGGCCATGAATTGAAAAATATGGAATTAAGAACAGCGGAAAGTAAGAGTTTGATTAGACTGAAGATTGTGAAAGTTAATACTGGAGCATGGCTCAGCCCGCTGCTACAGACACTGCTTTTTTTCCCCACTCGCTCTTTTTACACTTTCTGAAATGTTTTTTCTACACTTTGTGTGTCTTTTCTTAAATAAAGGATATGCAAATGTGGACACAAGTAAAAGTTTAAGCGGTCATGCTTTATTTTATTTCGTGTCTTTCGAACCGAATGTGTCATTTTGGTCGCGTTAAAGCGCACGAATCGCACGCACACGCGTCGCGTTCTCCGTGACTTAGTTGATAGTGTGCGTTTTCAACAACTTATTGGAATACATCAGTGGGATCGGCGGCTACAGAGGTCGGAAATGAAATGTGCCACTTTGACGCGCAGTCCTCTTGTAAACGTGCAAAACCATTTTTGAAAGCAGCAGTTCGCTAAAAATTAAACCACGTTTAAGGCGATTCCTATGCAAAGAGCGAGGCAGGCTGCTGTCAGAGGCAGAGCAGGGCTGCTGTGGTACAGCCGGAATAAAAATGATCTTATTATGAGCAAAGAAAAGCACCTGATTTTACTAAGATATATTTCAGGCACTAAGACAACGAGACTTTACGCTGATGACAAAATGCTGCTTTTTTAAACATTTTTTTTAAATAAAGTTTAATCTAATTTATGTTTACTTTAAACTGCACACAACATGGACTGACATCTGTAGCAGGATATTTTATTTCTATTTCAATATCAAAACAATAGACGTTAAAATGTTATTCAAATATGAGACACACCGATATTTTCCAGTTTACACAGAAGTGTGTGTTTTGGATTCATTTGGCTAAAACATTTGGAGGGAAAATAAAGAATTGGTACCTTTTTTTGGAATATTTAAATTGGACTTTATACAAATATTTCACTTCGCTCTGGAAGAATGACAAGAAAAATGTGAAAGATTTAATAGCTTTTGTCAGTTATCCCCTGAACAGAGAAAAACAGTAAAGCTACATGTTTAAACCAATACGACCAATAATAAATAAGGTGGATATTTTAGAAACTAAAGTGGTAAAAACAATACATATCTGACAATCTAATTTAATATTAGTTAACCCCAAAAAGCTATTGTGTATGGTTTAATGGAGAGAAGAAAAAAACAACCTCAGAGTTCTTCCTTTTTTAATCATAATATTTACTGTAATAATTTCATTAAAATAAAATAAGAATCTCGATGTTCAGCTAAGGTTTTCTGCACCATCAGATACCAGGGAGAGGCTGACATTTGGAGGAGTATCGTGAAGTGATGTTGGAGAAACAGGTTATCGTGACATCCATTACGAAACTATAGTGAGGACACGTTGTCAATAAGTGTGTGTTTTCTCCTAAATAATAAATGTGACAGCCTTCTTTGGAGTGTTCTGGTCAGCTCTGGCCTGTATAGTTTGTCTCACTGTCTCGTAGCATTTTGATATGTTTGGTGGTGAAGATTATCTTTTAAAAAATGTGACCAATATTTAAAATAATGAAATTGAATCGATCTTTTTTGTGGAGTGTTTTTCTCCTGGAACAGATGTCCTCTGATTTTTTTCCGAATAAAAGGACAGTATTGCAAAAAAAAAAAAAAAAAATCAAACCCACCTTTGAGTCTGTCAGTGCTCTTTGTTATGATAATTTTATTGTTGGTTCTCTGCGGACATGGACAGTCTGTCTGTCAGCATACGCACACTTCTTTCTGTGCAAACAGCCCCATATAGACTGCTGCTCCACTGGATCCAGGCTGCAGCCTCCACTGATCACACTGCGTGCAGTGTTTATTGAAACAATACGTGGATTTGATAGTCTGCGCCCATATAGATGCTGCTGGATTCCGATACAGACTTAATGGCCAAATGCCACGTATGTGCTCTGTGGTCCTGGACACGGTCCACGCGTGCTTTTTAACTTAAAGAAGTCATCGACTGTACAACAGATGAGACATGAGTGAGACAATGAAACGTCCAGATACTTCTGTGATTCTGTCTGTGCAGACGTGTGTGGATAAAATTGCACGACACAGAAGAGTGTCCTGTTCTTTCGTATATATATATATATGTATATATATATATATATATATTTCCAAGATTTCACAAGACTGAAATCAGACATGATCGTGATGTTGTAGAGCGGTGGAGATGCTTGATGGGTATGTTACAGTCACATTCCTCTGAGGCTGGGAAGGTTATGAAGGCTACGTGCGTTAATGCGGATCTGATATCAAATATTTAATTTAAAGAGCACTGCATGCAGTGAAATCAAAAACCTTATATTGTAGTCTCCCTGTGACCGAGGCTCAGCCTCTCCTCCTCAACACCTCCCTCTTTACTCGTGCTTCTAAAATATATGGTGTGGTGTAACACACGTGTTTCCTCAGCTCCGTGCGTCCATAAGCCGAGGCAGCCTCCCGTACCTGTTCGAAACACCGTTGTGTATAGCTCTTCTTTAAAGACTGCAGGAATCTGCAGGATTTGCGACATGTCTGCTGTGTGTCGGTTAAAATGAATAGGTTGTGGCCAAATGGCGTGCGAGCGCAGCTGAAGGAGCGACGGAATAATAAAGTCTATAGAGTCAATTTGAGGCTCGAGTATTGGACAGCTTTGATTCTGTCAGCCCCCACCCCCCCTGTAAAAGCCTCATCACGCAAACAAGTTTACAAACGTATGCACGGGCCGGGCTGACGTCACTCAATCAGTGACCATAGTGAGCAGAGTGTGAGTTTAATCCAAAGAAGGGGCTGCCAGACGGAGGCCCTGATGCCTTTCGGGTCTATGCATCACTTTAAAAAGGTGGGGGGGTCAGAGGGGCCTTGGTGGGCTGACAGGGTCTAAAGCTTTTGTGTTATAGCACCATTCATTTGCGCCTCTCTGTGGGGAAGGATAACTGTCCACGTGCCAGCCTGAATAGGCACACAACCATGAGTGGCATTGCAAATCAACACAACCTGTGGCATGACATATGACAGACCGTGGGTACATGACAAAGGGAGAGGAAGAGAGGCTTAAAAATGCTAAATGATGCTCAAGTAGAGAGGAAAGCGCTGGACCATCAGCAGAGCTGGGGGAACAATGCTGTGCATTCAAAAGCAAGGAAAAGCCCAATAATCGCTTCCACCACTACTGTTGGCCGGTGAAGCTCAGCCGTATCCACGTGCAGCCTTCTCAAAACAACAGCAACACAAAGAAACAACAAATATATATTTTAACAAAGTATGATATAAACTTTAACGCTCACGTGATTTTGGCAAAAACTCAAATTGAAAAAGATGAAATACCTTCTCTCAGTGAAAGTCATACAACTTCATGAAGCAAAATCAACCGTCATATCCTGCAGGATTTGGGGATTTGAGATGCTCATAGGCTGCAAGGAGATGCCAGTCATATTTCCAGACTTTTCTACAGAGAGATACGAAAGGCATCAGAGATTTGTGAGGAAAGTATTAGAATGGATGTTCAACGTCATACAAAGACAAATGAATAAAAAGGAAATTAAAAAATAAATACAAAAAGAAAAATATGGTTATGGCATTTGACTGACAGTCAATGTAGGCTGCATCTTATTGGCCACGAGGGAAAGTAGCCCAACATCTGTGTAAAAAACAAACAAACAAACAAACAAACATCCACTTAACTGGCACACGCACACACGCACGCGCGCACACATCGAATTTTATACTTAATTTAAAATCTTATTTTTGTAATAAAATTATGATTTCGCAATATTAAATATAAATATAATAATGTTTTTTATTTATTTTTACATTTTTTGTGATCGTAATGAAACTGTAGTTGTGTTAAAAAATAATAAATAAATAAAAATAATCACCAATACTGCGCTGTGTAGCAGCATATCAGTGCACACTGGAGAGTGTCCGACTCTCCAGGGTGGATATAGGGCAGTGAAGCCAGGTGCAATGGCAGCGCCCTCTTATGTTCAGCCTGACCACTGGGATCAAGCAGCGCATCAACCCTTCACATGCAGGAGCCAAGCGCCTGCGGATCCATGCACTTGGTCTCTGCAGAAGCGAAGGCCGTTTTACTGCGCGTTTAATCCTATAAATCAAACACTGTCTCACCAGGAAATGATGCAAAATAAGGCTGTTGTGTTGCTGCTTGAACAAAACCACAGAGGTCTGCACTCCATCAAAGTTCACCAAGTGAAAAGACCGGCTTTAGAAAATACAGTGTCGCTTTGAATATTGTTGTGTTTTGCATTCGAATATATTTAAATACAATTTGACCGTGTGATCAGATTATACTTGTTATAAAAACATTAGGGCTGTGAAAAATCCGCATTTTAACTTAAATAAATGAATATTAATGAACGAAAAACTCTTTTTTTAATATTATACTTAATTATGCTGGTAATTACTCTCTTCTCAAACACATAATTTTTGCATTTCTTTATTCTTCTTTGTAAATAAAGAGTCTGTTTGCTTGTCCTTTCATGGTCACTGTCTCTTTTTAACCCTTTGGTCCCACTGGTACTCTATAGGTAAACGTGTGGTACTTCTTCTCTGTATATATGTGTACCCTATGCCTTTTAAATCCAAGTGCAATGTGTGCAATTTTTGTTTGTTTTTGCTGTACTGTTACAAATACGTGTACTTAAAGCCACGTATTGACATTAAAAAATGGTACGGTTTTAAACCTGACACAAATTAGTTATAGGTTACCTGATCATTGAATATTTTGTGTAATTTTTAAAAAATATGTTATCCTATCGATGTTTCTGTCTATTCGGTTTGTATTGGGTTTTTTTTTTTTTTGTCTTTTTGTTTTAACATACTGGGGAATACACATTTCTTGAAATAAAATATTAAAATATTTATTGGTAAAACCCTGTATCCCTTTTTGATTTAAAATAATATTATAATGTGATAAATGTTTTATTAATATGTCTGATGCACGCTTGGTTTAAATCGCTTTTTCATGTTGGACAGGAGCTGCAGTGGTGTGATTTTACATTTTAGGAGGAGAGGTGCAGCAGTGGGGCAGGTATATGTCTGGGGGAAAATAAGAACAGATAATAAACTCCTCTGTTTTTCTCCGTCCTGTTTGAAGCACCTTGACAGAAATATGACGCGTAATTCAAAATATATTTTGATGTTAACCATTTAAATAAACGTCTTTTTAATATTTAAAAGATATAAACTAGGCTATGTACAATGTAACAAAAAAAATCACAAAACACGAGAATAATACTTAAGCGGTTTTAAATAAAATTTAAAAAACGCACAGGCTTCCGCGCGCGTGCACGCACACAAACACACACTGTTCCTTACATATCAGGAAACGTGACAATTTTCCATCTTTACACTGTGTGTGCGGCGTGCACGAGCGTGCGTGTGTCCGCCTGCGTGACGCGTTTTGCCTCTAGCCGCACATTTAAGAAAACAGAAAAACATTATTATTATTATTATTATCAACATCAGGTTTATATGGTTTAAATTTATAAATGTACCAATATCTGATCACATCATTTTTAAAACCTGTATTTATTTGCCTTATCACGTATGATTAAATTGAATAATAATTAACAGACATCCATATATTTTTTGCATATGTAATTAAAAAAATATTTCCCTCATTGAAAATTGCCAGATGTCAGGATCATGTCAACAAAATAAACCCTCAAAATTCTTATTGTATTGAATTTGTGCGATTAACCAAAAAAATTAAAGAAAGTGAAAAGGAGAAACATAATGGTAAGTATTTAAGAATTACGTCATGTTCTCTCAGTATTTAAAACACATTTGTGTTTAAAATATATAAATTCTAACAGACTCCTGTTTTACAAAGTGTGTGTCAAGAAAAATATATAGGAACGGAGCAGTGGTTTCAAGTCCAGGATGTAGTATATAATGGTGAAATCTTGGAAGGTGCGCACACACACACACACACACACAGACACACAGACAGAGAGACAAACGCGTACACACGCACGCACGGACACACGTACACACGTACACACACTCCGGGTGAGAGACAGGTGGGACTCGTGGGGTTTTACGCTCTTTGGAGAGACTCAGTGAAACAGAGGAATCCCAAATCAGAGCCATATGACCACTCCAGGCAACAGAAACACTAGAAGTGGGGATCCTCCTCCCCTCTGTTTGCAAACAGAAGGGACGCTGGGATCAGGTCCCAGCATCGCCAAACCCACTTAAATACCGCTTCGTGCTCGCTGCATTTAAACTTGACCATGACAAATTCAGAGCAAGTCTTCTCCTTGATGTTGGGAAGAAAAACAAAACAATGTGAAGAGATAAAAGATGACATGTGGAAGTGAAGTGCACGGCGAGTACACACAGACGGTGATGTTGGATATGCACAGATCTTAGCTCCTTTCCAGGGTCAATTCAACGTGTCTGTCTACTACTACTGCTGCTGCTGTAGACTTGCAGCATATATGGCTATATACATCAGAATTTGGTGGAATAAATATAATAATAATAATAATAATAATGATGATGATGATGATGATGATGATGATGATGAGGAACATGCCCATGTGATCCAAGCTTCAAAAGTCATCACCACCGGGGTCAAAGACCACCTGAAGGTGTGTGGGGTAATACTAACTAGTCAGAGCAGCAGAGGTAGATCTAAAGACGCTGAACTTCTACCAGTATGTCCATCAAATGCTTTGTTCCTTTCTCTCCCCCCACCCTCCCAGACCCCGGCCCCCTACGTGTTAGCTTGTTAATGGAGTTAACAGAGAAGGTGTTTACTTTTGCAAGACACCTTGGACCGAGGGGCCCAGCTAGGACCTGCTCCCTCAACTCAGCTCTCTCTACCAACGCTGCAGCCCTATATGCCACACCGACGTCACCGATGTCTCACGATACTCCGACTCTGTGCTTCTCCTCCTGTTTGAATCGTTATCATTCTGACAGTGTTGGATTTAAATCGCAGGGAAGATGCTCAGGAATGACACCTGTATCCTTTTCTACCTGCACACCCAGCTCACGTGGCCTGGTTTTCCTGCCAAGACGACTTTTGTGTTATGAAATTTCAACACGTGTGTAACAAGCCTCTTACCTCATTCCTGTGGCAGAAATACTACCCATCATCTGTCTGCGGAACATACTGTACTTTTTCGTGCTAAGCTCAATCAGTCGTCTGGCTAACTGTCTATAGCGTGCGTGTGTGTGAGAGATACAGAAGGTGTAGTTGTGTGAGGAGTGAATAATGACAGCAGGAGGCTGAGCTCCTATATTAACACCGTTGCTGGCCACGTGTATGTAACCGCCGTCACATTAGAAGTAATTACAACTTCCAGTTGTGTCAGAACTGTGGCTGCTGAATAATTTGTCACGTTGTGCATCTGTACAGCCCTGTGGAGCATCAGCTGAATCTAATTCACTTAAACAAGTTGTTTTTCTGCTTACAGGGGCAAAAAGATATCAACATGAAAAACTGCCTTTGACTTGTAAAAGGTCACACTCTCCCCGTGGTCAAACGACAGACACTGATGTGATCTTCTCCTTTTTCATGGCTCAGATGTTACAACACATGCATCGCGTCGCAGACACAATAATCTGTGTTTTTTGCTGAAAATTAGACCAGAATTACCAAGTTGCTATTCTTCCGTGTGTCTTTTTCAAATTAAACATTTACACAGAAATTAATAAGTGTTTTTTTTTGTCACAGTTTCAAAACAATAGAGTAAATGTTAATACCTCACGTTGTCATGGATCTGCACAACATAAATGGATCTTTGTACCAGGCTAAAATTTGAAGCTTCCTTAAGTCCGATGAATAATACCACAACAAATTTATACATAATAGGATTGGATTTTTTTCATCAAACTTTTCAAAATAAATAGGAACACAGATTGTTTTCCAGCAACAAAAGGTTTAATTTAAAAGTGATCTAATTCCATAGATCTCCCCTTTTTCTTTTGAGCGTCTGAAGATTGCAGTTTCATATCAAAATGTAAAGCAAACAATCAGCATGATCCAAACATCACATCTGTCTGTGGGTGCACACACTGTGTAATCAACACACTGGGCTTTATATTTCCGTGGGTACCCTGGATTTGCGAAAATGGATTGGAAATGAAGCTTCTCTGAAACTAGGACTATAGATATTCATATATATATATATATATATATATATATATAAAGATTTTCTTACTTTTTTAATAAAACCAATGCTTTGCTTTAAGTATATATATTGTGTGTATATATATGTGCCTTATATATATATATATATATGCTCCCATATAAGGGAAATATTATTTCCTGAGGAAAAATGGAGGGAGGGTTTGGGGGGGACGCACTGGTTTTGAACACCCTCTGTTTAGAATTGTAAATGCATTGCAAAGGCCCTGCTGTCCAATTACATATATCTTTCATGTATGAAATCATGCATGTCTCTGTCTGAAAGGGGGAGGGCTGACACAAAAGGAACAGCCCAGAATGGAGCAGAACAGTGTGCAGCCCACATACAAAATAAGGTCTTGTGTCGGTGCCCTGGAGCCCTGGGCAAGGAGCTCCATCAGCACACAGGACAGGGAGGGGAGCTGCCCCCCCCAAACACACACACTCATACACGCACAGTGGAGCCCTCTCCACTCCTGACTCCCGCTGTATTATTGTTGTCCTGTTTCATTGAAGCTGAACCTTTTGCTCCATAATCAGACCTTATGGAAAAGAACAGATTCAAAC